CATCCAATAACAACCCTAAAAATATAAAAATAATAAAACTTTAAAATTTAAAGCAGGGGGCCGGGGATGTAGCTCAGCAGTGCCATGCCTGCCTGGCAAGCACAAAGTCCTGAGTTCAATCCCCAGTACCAGGAAAAAAAAGTTTAAACTTTAAAAATAAAAACTAAATATAAAGATACAAAATTCTGGTTAAATCAGTAAATTTACAATACAAGCCCTTAGTAAAAACAATTGCTATACACTTGTGGCTCGACACTCACAGGGACAGGTGGTTCCATTTCCCCTCAGATGGGACACTGACCTTCGAAGGATGCATTGCATATTGGTTTCTACCAAAACCAAAATACAGGGGGAAACAAAATTAGACCTATGAGAACTCGTTACTACTCTCCCCTCACCCCACTACAAAGGTCAGATGCAAAAATGGTCCCTTCCTTCTCAATAAAAAATATAAATCACTGCTCTTGCATACCTGTGGAAGAATTTGACTTATCACAACATCTTAAATGTTACTGGTGAGCCAAACAGTAAAAAACTACTCAGCCTTCCATGTACCTCAGGCCTGTAAAAAGAGAGCCTGCTTGATAGATTACAGTTTAATTGGACAGGGACTTGTGTCTCACTTCAATTGACTAGCTTCTTCACCCTGACATTTCATAAGGGCTCTAATCCAGGAAGGCCATAAAAATAAAATGTTGGTAATGGGGTCCTTTAACTCAAATATATATTGATACACTAAAAGTCCCCTAATAAGTTCAAGACTAAAAATCAAGGGCCTGCCTCGCAAGCACAAGGTCCCGAGTTCAATCCCTGATAACAAAAAAAGAAAAGAAAATTAAAAATCAAATAACAGGAGAGTTTAGAGCTAGGCATGGTGGTGCACACCTGTAATCTCAGCACTCAGGAGCCTGAGGCGCTGTGAGTTCAGGGCCAGCATGAACTACAAAGGGAGACCCTGCCTCAAAAAAACAAACAAAACCACAGAGTTTAGATCACCCTTTTGATGGTCCACAACTAACGAAATATAAATTAAATTAATATATAATAATCAACTATAATTCATCAACTATACCAAAAATGCCCTACCAAAAAACCCAACTAGATACCATCAGTCAGATAGCATAAAAAAGTGACATTACACTAGATATAATACTACCCAAAAAAATGTCTATTTACTGCTGGGTAAAAAGTGTACCTATAGGGCCAAGGATTTAGCTCAGTGGTTCCTGCTTCTGCCGCCTGCCTTGCAAGCATAAGGTCTCAATTTCAACTCCCGGTACAAAAAAAAAAGTACCTTTATTCCCAATAATACTGATAAAACTATTACAAAAGCCTTACAGAAATTAATGACCTTGGCCAATAAACTAACCAAAAAAAAAATGCTAAAATTGATGTACTGTTTACCAGGCAAATACAAGAGTGGTTTTAAAAAAAAATTATTGGCTGGGGATTTAGCTCAGTGTTTCGGGCGCCTCCCTCGCAAGTGCAAGGACCTGAGTTTGATCCCCGGTACCAAAAAAAAATTTTTTTTTCTTAAATAGCCTCAGTCCTCACCTCTTTCATAATCATACCAAGAGTCTTCAGAGCAGTACTACCTCATCCTCCAGGCAAGAATGTTAACCCAAAAACTAATTAAAACAACAATAAATAGCCAGATGTGTGAATTCAAGGTCAGCCTGAACTAAATAGCAAGGCCCTGTCTCAAAAAACTGAGGGAAAAAAAGCCCTAACATACCAACAAAATAATTCATTACTGTTAGAGGTCAAACTAAACTCAACCTCTTACGACAAAAAAAAAAAAAAAAAAAAAAAAAAAAAAAAAAAAACACCCCCTAAAAAAAAAAAAAAAAAAAAAAAAAAAAAAAAAAGACAAATCCTAATACAATTTAAAAACAAAAAAATAGGTAAAATAGAAATAAAATTTAAAAATTGCAAAAAAATTGTAAGGAATAGAAACTTAAACTGATCCATTCTCAGTAGTTAACTCTGAGTGAAAAAATTACTAGCAGTTAAAATTATCTAACAGCTTGCAGACAGGACAAAGCTCAAACATCTGAAATATTCTTTTTTTTTCATCTGAAACATTCTTAAGCAAGCAGGACCTTAAGAAGAAATAAACTAATAAGAAAGCCTTTGTTGAGAAATGTAAGCGTGAGTGGGGAACAAGATGAGAGGCATAAAATGGTCTATTTTCCTGATAAGATAGCTAAGGCAAAGTAAAAACCTATTAACTGCAAGGTCACATAAAATCTAAACAGGAACATCTTCTTTTCAGAGTCTCAAAGTAAAAGACAGACAATGTTATAAAAAAATCCAAACTCAAATTGGGAGGGGGATTGGGGAACTGCCTCATAAACAATAATAAAACTTAGATACATCCGAAACAAGCTGCTGCCCCATAGTACTCAACCAATTAAAAAAAAACTAAAAAAAAAAAAAAGACCTATAAACTAAAGGTGAATTACTCACTATAACTGCCACAGGTGTGTCTGCTCACATTACAATCACTCAACCTTATAAAATTGATAAGAAAGCCTCACTTTCACTGTTCTTCATGCCTCTAACTTCATTCCTTGGGTCTGATGAGGAAACATGTCTCACAGTAAATATGAAATTTTTCTCATTTCTTATTTTCTCAAAAGTACAAGTAAATAGCTGCAACAAATAATAAAAATATATGATGGAGTAAAATGTATGAGCAAAGGATTCAGCAACATTGTGCTTCTTAGCAGCATCTGCCCAAGCCAGGACCTCAACGCCTCAGGCGGGTTTGCTAGGACACAGAAGGGTAGAGCAGTACCTGTGGCCTCCCAGATATGGCCTGTGCGTAGTTCATCCTGTCTTCATCATGGAGACTGCACCAAGCCAGTGCCCAGCAAGGTAGGGCTTCCACTCTCTAGGGACAGCACTGTAGATGAGATCCTTGCTTGCTGTTTCCTAACAGGAGGCTAGTTCTGCCTAGTAGCTTATCCTAAGATGAAACTCAGCTCCATCTGACATGCAAAATAATACAAGCTCTGTAGACAACATTGGAGAGAGGTCTGGCTGTACCTTGTCCCCGCTGTGACCAGCTGTGGTATAGGGGACGCTCACAAGAGCCCTACATCAGAATGGCCTAATTTATAACCTAGTGCAGGCTGAGATTAAGGACAACTCTGTGCAGCAGGTTGGCCCATGGCCCCTAGCACCAGCCCAGAGTGACCTAGGACAAAAGGGCACTGAGGAGCCTGTGACCAGTTTGACCACTGCTGCAGAGCGCCACATTTTAAAAATATACATGTTGAGCCACGCGTGGTGGTGCATAAGTGTAATCCCAACACTCGGGCGGCTGAGGCAGGAGGATCACTGTGAGTTCAAGACCAGCCTGGGCTACACAGTGAGTTCCAGAGCAGTATGAACTACATAGTGAGACCCTGTCTCAAAAAACCAAAAATAAATAAATAAATAAAAATATACATGTTTATAGAGGTACAATTCACACAGCATACAGTCATCCACTTTAAGTATACAATTCTGTGAGGTCTAGCATATTCAGAGGTGTGTGACCATCACTAAGATCAATTTTAGAGCATTTTAAATCAAATTTAGAACATTTTCATCATCCCAAAAAGAATCTCATACTTATTAGCAGTCACTCCTTTCTCCCCTTCTGCAAGACCTTGACAACCACTAATGGATCCACCTCTTCTGGACCTATAGTTCTTTGATTTGTTTTGTGTTTTGAGACAAGGGCTCACTAAGTGGTTCAGGATGGCCTTGAACTCACTATGTATCACAGGCTGGTCTTGAACTTGCAGCAATCTCCTGTATCAGTTTCCCAAATTCTGGGATTATAGGCATGCACCATCACACCTGGCTCCCTTCTGGACATTTCACATATGGATTCAGTGATGTGGTCTTTTGTGCCTGGCTTCTTTTACTCTCCATAATGTTTTCAAGATAATCCACAACATACAATGTGTCAGCAATTCATTCTTTTTAATTGCTAAACAATATTCCCTTGCCTTGTGACAGCAAGTCTTAGTTTCTTGTCTCTCAATGCCGAGACAAAATACCCAACACCCAGGGCCTGGGATATAACTCAGTGGTTCCACTGCCTGGCCCAAGTTTGATCCCCGTACCAAAACAAAACAAAAAAACGCCTGATACCCAAATTCAAAAGAGGAAAGGCTTATTTAGCTCACAGTTTATAGAGGTTTCAGTCCATAATCAGGTGGCTCCAAAGCAGGGTGTATGGCAAACAGGAATGACAGAAGAGAAACAATTCGTGGCACATACAAAGTGGCAAAAGCAACAAGGGGCTTTAACAGCTTCTTTTTCTCCCTTTTATGCTCTCTCTAGGCTACCAGGATTTAGGGTGGTGCCAAATCAATTAGTAGACTGAATTAATAATCACGAACTCTTAATCCCAGTGTCATACACTCCAGATTCAGTCATCTCTGAAAAAGCCCCACCTATAACCCCATGAGTCTTTGGGAGGACATCTACACCATAACAGAGGAGTAGTACAGTGGTAGATTGCTTGCCTGGCATGAGGCCTGGGCTGTATATCCACAATTGTGGGGGGAAATATCCATAGTATGAATTTACCATTTTTCTTAGCCACCCATGAGTTGATGGACATTTTGGTTATTTCCCCTTTTTAACTATCATGAACAATGCTGCTACGAACATTGGTGTACATATATCTGTTTGTCCTCTTGCTTTCAGTTTTGGGGGAGTATCTACCTAAGAGTGAAATCCCTGGGTGGCACAGTAAATTACCTGCTTGAGGGCCGGGGATTTAGCTCAGTGGTTCTATTTCCTGCGTTGTAGGCACAAGGACGAGTTTGATCCCCAGTACCATAAATAAATAAAATTACCTGCTTGAGGAACTGCTGGATTAATGCCAAAGCAGCTCTGCCTTTTCAAATTCTCCCCTATGATGCACAGTAGTTTCCATTTCTCCACTTTTTTGCTAAATACCGGCCCTCTATTTCTCCACTTCTTTCCACCACTTGTTACTTCTTTTGTATGAGAGTCAGACCAGTGGGTGTGATTCTGTCTCATGGTTTTGATTTGAATTTCTCCGTGCCTGGCGATGTTGAGCATCTTTTCACGTGCTCGCAGGCAGTTTATACATTTTGTGCGTCTTTGGAGGTTATGAAGCTTTCGGACTGAGGTCAGGGCGCGGCCAAGTCTTCCCGGAAGACTGCGGCTTCCTGCTGACCAGGGGAGGAGGGGACGGGGGAGGCTCCAAATTAGTTCCGGGAGGGCTCCCTGGACTAGCCACGGCTTCAGGCAGCAGTTTCACTTTTGGGTCCGGGCATTCCTGGCTGAGCGCGCGCTCTTCCTCGTAGGCACCTGGCCTGAGCAGGCCTTGAGACCCCTTTTGCAGCGCTGCCTCACTTCCTTCTTCTCCTGGACCTCTGGCACTGGCACCGACACCAGCGGCAATCACGGTGAGCGGCTCCTGCCTAGTCCCATCGTCCCCTCCTCCCTACTCCCAGTTGGAAGACCCGAAACCCCAGACTGGGAGGGAACGCCCCAGATTCTGGGAGGGCCGCCCACTGGCCCGCATAGCGGCTGACAGGCTGGATTTGGGCTTGACCCTGAAGTTGAGCCCTAGAGGCACCCAGGCCTCCTGTGGGTCCAGAGGCTCAGGCTCCCTCGGGGCGTGGCTGCTGCTCCACTTACTCAGGGCCCTGTTGTCTGATGCCGGTTGGATTTGTCCCTGGCTTGTGAGGTCTAAGCTCTACTGGTGGGGCCTGGATAGGGAAGCCAGTCTGTTGTGGTGCACCCCAGTGAGTTTCCTGCAGGCGTCTACCGCCGCTGCAGCACAAGATTCTGCAGCAGCTTCCGAGTCGCAGAGAGGACGTGTTTGTGGTGACAGAGGTGCTTCAGACAAAGGAGGAGGTGGAGGTCACAGTATGCACAGGAAGGAGGGCTCAGGCCAGGGTGCTCTGCCTGGAATCAAGGTGGTTCATGGAGTTGTGGGCCCAGGAGGGCCTAGAGGACACTGACTGCCCACCATAGATGCCCCAACACTGTTGGGCTGACAAGGTATGTAGCCCTCAGATGTGAAGGGCTAAGGGCTGCCTCCAACACTGGCAGACAACTTTGGTGTGGATGGCCCAAATCCTGCTGAGGACTGTGAGGGATGTCCCAGCCTGGAGTGTTCTGCCCTAGGCAGACAATGGGTCAGGTACAGAGGGTACAATGTTTCTATGTTGGGTAGTAGTTGGGGACTGGAGCTTTTTGCCAGCCAGAATATGTCTCAGTACTTTCTGGGTAGGGACATGTATTGGTCAGCTTTCCCATCACTGGACAAAATACCTGACACCTGAAATTTAAAGGAGTGAAACTATTTTGCTCATAGTTTCAGTCCATGATTGGCTGGCTCCAAGGCAGAGACCTCAGGACAAAGGGGAAGAGCAAAGCTGCTTAGTTCATAGAGACCAGGAAGCAGAGCAGGGAAAAAAGGGGAGACAAAGGAAATAGGGACCACTTTACCCTAAGGCCACACCTCCACGACCCACCCAGACACACCTATAAGTGTGTTTCACCAATCCCCAGGGCAGATCCCAACTAATAAGTCAAGTTGCCACTCCCAGCTAACAGCCACAAGCCACTTTGGAAGGACCAAAATCCCCTGCATTGGAGGCTTCCAAGCACTGACTGACCCATCTGTCCTCAAGAGAATGTCTTCGGCCTTTGAGAGTGTGGTCCGGAGTGTAGTCCGTGAGCTGGACCCTAGGAGGGAGCTCATCCTAGTGGACAGCCTTCAGAACTCTACCAGCTTCCGGCCCTATTACCTGCTGAGAAGGAAGCCCTCAAGCTCACGGTTCTGGAAACCCCGTTACTCATGTGTCAACTTATCAATCAAAGACATCCTGGAGCCTGATGCCCCAGAACCAGGTAGCCAAACTCATACTGAGACAGAGCTCCCGCTGGGCCAGGTAGAAGGAAGTGGGCTATGTCCTCTACCCTGAAAATGGGACAAGGCCATAGCCAGTGGGACAGGGCCTTAAGTCTAGTCTTACTTCAGATTTGGAACATGGTAGCACCTTCCACTTCAATGATACCATCGACGGGAAGGTACAGGGCAACATGGAAGTGGCAGTCCCAGGACAGTGGAAGATCTCGGGTGGGGCAGCAGTGTCTGGCAGCTCCAGCACCTCAATGAATGTGCGCACCCTAAGTGTGGACCCGAACACCTGGGATCGTATGCAGCAGGAGAGGTAAGCCCCAGAGGGGACAAGGGCCCTCTGAACCAGAGGAGCTGTATTCTTGAGAAGGCCACAGGGTCATGAGCACCAAGCACCAAATCGGGAAGTGCCTCTTCACCAAGTAAGGAAGTCCCAGAGGCCAGGGAGTGCTGTGGCTGATGTCAGAGAAGAATATATGGGCTGGTTGCCAGTACTGATCCTGAGGCTGGGGTGTGTGGGCAGAGCCTGGGGCTTGGGGGTGGATTAAGCCACAGGCTGCTGTGAGAAGGAAGTGGCAGGGAGATGTCATGATGGAGAGTAGAGTGTGGATGGCACTTCCAGGAGTCTCCTTGCTGGACCTCTTCCCACCCCCTCATATCCACTGAGACACTGTCAGGAGTGCTCAGGGAATATACCCATGCCTAGTATCTGCAGACTCCTGGATGGCCTCCCTGCTTGACCCTTCTGATGGGGCCTGGAGAGGGAAGTCAGTCTGTTGTGGGTGCAGCCCAGTGAGTTTCCTACAGGCGCCTGCGACAGCCGGAACACAAAATTCTGCAACAGCTTCGGAGTCGCAGAGATGACGTGTTTGTGGTGACAAAGGTGCTGCAGACACAGGAGAAGGTGGAGGTCACCCGTATGCGCAAGCAGGAGGGCGCAGGCCATTGTGTTCTGCCTGGAGCCATGTGCTTGAAGGTGTGTGGCCAGCCCTGGAACCTGCCTGACCCCATGTGGGAATATGGCAGCAGCAGAAGTGGGAGAGGCTAGGGGAGCATCCCAAGGCTCAGGCAGCTGCAGGGCTGGGCCCTACCAAGACCCTTCCAGGAGGAGCTCACATCTCCACACTTGCCCAGTGAGCCAGTTGCCCAAAGGCTGTGTTGGCCACCACCAATGGCAAGGCTGTCACCAGCACCCAATCCATACCCATACCTATAACCCTGTACCCAGAACACAGCCCTCAACCTATATCCATTTCTCAGGGTGATGGCGAGGGCCACTTGAGGAGGGAGAATAAAGTCACCATCCCTGCAGGCAGTATCCTCGCGTTCCAGGTGGCCCAGCTGGTCATTCGCTCTGACTGGGGTGAGCAGGGCACTGGGTGTATCTCTGGGACCCCAGCTCTGTGGCAGAGACAGGAGGCCTGAGAAGGGAATGTTGTGGGCATCTGCTGCATAGCTGTTCAGTCAGGGGGCCAAGCACCCTGGGCTGTGGTGTATAGGTGACTGGGCCGGGTTTCACTTGGCTGGGGAGCCCCTTGGGTGGAGGCAGCCTAGTGACCTGCCTCTCCCTATGTGGTCCCACCTGCTGCCAGACATCTTTCCCTTCCCGGATGAGAAGCGGAGGACCTTCTTACCATCCCCTACCGGTGAGGCCTGAGGATCTCTAGCCCATCCTGTCCAGTGAGAAAAGCTTGTTCCTTCTACCACGGAGGTCTTCCATGCTCAGGGAGCAGCATGGCTGGGTAGCCTCCTGAGAGGGTGGGCACCACACACAAAGTGTGGTAGTCAAATGATGGTGGACATGCTTGGCCTCCTACCTGTCCCGGGCTACCAATTTTGGGGGTGAGGTGGAACAGGAGGGCCCAGGGAAGTCTCTTCTTTGGCTCAGGGACCCTCCTCCCTGCCCATCTCACATCCTTCCTAGACAGCCAGCCGCAGAATACCTTCAGCCTCTCCTCAGTATTGAGGGCCATCAGAGATTCCCTCAAGCTCCTGACAGGTCAGTGCCCCTTGACCACTGCTGGGACCCCCATGGGCCTTCCTCCATGAGTCTGTCTTTCCTGACCATGGCTGTCCATCCAGATGGGATATCTGAGGAGTCAGTGGTCACAGAAGAATTCCAGGTCCTGCGGACAGAAGTGGAGGCTGGCTTTGCAGCTCTGAAGAAGATGGCAAGGGACCTGAGGCAGCAGCTGCTGCTGAACCTGAGGAAGGTCCTGTGTGACCCACCAGCCCTACAGGATTTAGAAGTCTTGGTAAGTGGGGGTACAGGGGGCAGGGGAACATGGTTTGCCCCAAGCAGCTCGGGCTCACCACCCCCTCTATCCCAGCTGGCACAGGGCCTGTGTGGTGCCAAACAGGTGAAGCCTCTGCAAGGTCCAGCAGGTAACATCCTTGAATGCCTGGTGCTCCCCTCCCGGGTCCTGGTGCCTACACTCGCTGCTCCTGTCTTTTACCTGCTGGGGGCCCTGACCGGTGAGTTGCACCTGGAATGGATAGATATATATAGCACAAGAGGAAGGACTGGGTTCCCTGCTGGGACTTCCAGAACACCCTCTCAGCCCAAATCTCTCCCCAGCACTGAGTGAAACCCAGCAACAGCTGCTGGCTCAGCTGCTGGACAAAGGGGACCTTTCAACACTACTCGAGCTGGTGAGAAGGCACAATGTGGAGGATGGAATGGGGCCCTGGGTGCATCTGAAAAGGGTGGTATGGACAAGGGTTTCACGCCCAGGGGCTCACAACTAATGCTCCCATGTCCACAACCTCATATACCCTGTCCTGACAGGTGGAACACCTCCTGGAGCAGAGCATCCCGTGGCAAGAACAGAGTGACGTGTCCCTACCCCCCAAGCTCCTTGCAAGTAACTGGGGAGAGGAGGCACCAGCCTGGGCCTTGCTGGAGAAATGTGGCCTAGAGCTGCAGGTGGGCGCCCCCCAGATACACTGGGAGCCACAAGCCCAGGGCCCCACCTGTGCACTCTATGCCTCCCTGGCACTGCTGTCAGGATTGAGCTGAGAATCCTGCTAGCCTGTGCCCACCCTCTAGCAGCCCCGGGAAGGCCAAGAGTTCAACTCAACCACAGGGCCTGTTCACCATGACACCCTGGAGCTGAAGAAACTCAATAAATATGATGTATGTGTGCTTGCTTTGACAGCACATATAATAAGTGTGATGTAGAGTGGAAATTGATCACTGAGTTTTTGAAGGACCACGGATCAGGGTAGGGTGGGTATGGTGGGGACTGTGTCCATGCAAGACTGGGAGGGACATGGGGGCCAAGAATAGGCATCTCCCCCGTCTTTCTCCATGAGGCTGAGGAGAGCCTACCCTTGGATGTTCCCATGCCCATAGCCTCTCCAGCATACTTACTTGCATGTGAAAGATGGGCAGAGAAATTACAGGAGACAGCTGATAGGCAGATGTCCAGATTCCAGGGCCACATAATCTCCTAAAGCAGTGGTGACCCATCCCATAGAGACAGAGATCAGAGACCTCCCAGCCCCTGCTTTGTGGGTCCCTGGAAAGTCAACAGGCTGCAGGGCACAGGTGAGTCTACTTCTTGTAGGACTCAGCAGCCCATCTGCCCTGTGTCTAGAGAAAGATGTGCATAATAGATGTAGTCGGGGTCTTATGGTCACCCCTGAACACTTAGATGCCAGGAGGATGTCTTTACTTGATACGGAGCATAGTCCACCTGCACAGTCTCTCTCAGCCTGGTAGGAAGTAGAGGAAACAGTGTACCCGCTTCTGTCCCGGAATACCATTGACATGCAGTTTGGAGAAGTTGCTAACAAGAAGGGACAGTAGGTTCTGCTATGGCCATAGTATTAAAACTCCAAGAAGGGCTGGGGATTTAGCTCAGTGGTTCCGCTGCTTACCTCATAAGCACAGGGTCCTGAATTCAATCCCCAGTATAAAAAAAAAAAAAAAATTCAGGAAAACCTAGCAGTGGAATTAATATTTAAACAAAAGGCAGAAACACTGTAACAATCTTAGATCCAGGTTACAGAGACCTAGAAATCAGTCTCCAGTTCAATCCCTAGTACCAAAAAAAAATCACTCTCCATGTATGTTGAAGGAGCTCAACCCCTCTCAGGTCTGCAGCCCTCCTTTGAAAACCCTCTTTCAGGTAATTGGAAAGCAAAACCAGGGTGAATGGGATGGCAACAGCCCAGGCCTTAGAAAGCATTGAATAGGTAGGCACCACAGGACCACTTTTGAAGTCACAAGACTTCTTGCTGTAAGCAGGTCCTTCCAGCTCAACCAATCCCCTTTAGGAGGGTCCAACTGTTGGCCCTTGGATCTGGGGCCATAAATGAGATCTCCAGCAACAGGGACTGTGAGAGTACATGGACACCAGAACAAAGCCAGCTGGCCCTGTGGCAGGGCCCTATTTAGAAAACGAGTGCATGAGTCGGGGTGCAGCCATCCCCTAGTCCTCTGAGCCTCAGCCCCAGCTGGAAGGTTTACCACAGTTCAGCTCTCTGCAAGTGAAGGTGATGGGCCTGGATGCTGGAGCTATAGCATCCCCACCGAGAGGCCAGGCCACCCGTGGTTTCCCTGCAATTCCAGCAGAGAAGTTTCAGTGTCGTCATATTCCCAGAGGTCATATATATTTTGTGTGAACCTCACATCTTGGCAGGGAGTCCAGTGTGGCCACCAGCTACTGAGCCAGGTCTAAGGCAGGTGGGATGGACATGTACCCAGAGCTGGCAGACGTGCAGGACAAGAAGACAGCCAGGCTTCAAGCAGCCTTCCAAAGGACAGTGTATGAGCTCTCCCCAGCACTGTGGAGTTGGGGTTACAGGATGCTGCCTTGTTCACCACAGCTGCCTCCCCACCTGAGCCCACATCTGAAGGTAGACTCAGGCACTATTGAGTTTGCCCACTGGATGATGGTTCAGCCATTCTCTGGGATGCAGATAAACCTGTGCTTAATGGAGATAGTGTCACATACTCACCCTTGCAAGAAGAGTGAGAACAGGTTTCTTTTTGCTTGGGGTAGAGAGCTGCTCCTGAGAGGATCCATTTGGGCTGTGTCCTGACACTCAGCGCTACATGTGGGTGACTCTTGGATAGGTGGCCAGCTTGAGAACTCCTGAAGGCCATCATTCATGTCCGCAGTATTTCCACCCAGCCTCCTTTCCTTCTCTTTCTCTCTCTCTCTCTTTCTCTGATAGCCTCTCCAGCATTTTCCAATTTTGGCATCTGCTCTGTTTTTTGTTGTTGTTCATTTGGTTTGGTTTTTGGTTTTTTGAGTCAGGGTCTCACTATGTATTCCAGGCCAGCCCTGAAACCACTATGTAGCACAAGCTGGCCTCTAACTTGAGGTGATCCTCCTGCCTCAGCCTCCCAAGTGCTGGGATGATAGGAATGCACCAACATGCCCAGCTTGGCATCTGTTCTGGAAGATCCAAACTAATGTGCTGATCCTTGCCCTGGCTCCATAAAGACCTAGGCTCTTGGCCTGACACTAATCTTCTCTGAAAATCACCTATAAAGAAATCCTAATGCCAGTCTGTGTTGGAGTACAGTGCAGCTTCTGCTTTGTCTCAGGGTAAACCCATACTGATCCTGGCCAGAGCTTGTGGGCTGAGCTGCCTGACCTTGAACCTGCCACCAGGCAGACCTCTGGATGCACACCTCACCTGTTCCCCTAGCTGGAGCCAGATCTTGGGTCTGGTGTACTCAGCATTAGCACATTCTTAGACAATCTCCTGCTATCTATGGGTTTTTATATTTTATTTTAAACACTTTCCACGGGGTGCAGGAGAGATGAGGTGAGCAGGACCCCATGCCCACCCCTGAGGGCCTTCAGTATAGGGGAATGATCCAACCCTTCACAGTGAGGCCTTGAAAGTTGAGAGTATGTCTCAATGCAGGCCTTTTGGGTGAGGGAACCTGCCCAGGCAAGCACCCAAAGGGGTGAGGTCACAGCTTTGGCAGCGCTGAGAGGGGCCTCTTCCCATCTGTACTGTCCCACTCTCAGCCCTGTGCAAGGTTCTGAGTGTCACCACCCCTGCTCAGAGTCTAGTATGTGGTTCCCATTCCCCATGCCTCAACCCTATAGTATACTCTTAGTCTGTGCTTGCTAGCAGGAAGGGATTCTAAACAAGAAAGTCTTCTAAACAAGATCACAGGAGGTAGGAGGTCATGTGGCCAGTGGAGGGGGGCAACAGGTGTGGACAGGAGGATAAGTCAGTGCCTCTTAATCCCAGGAGACATGAGCCAGAACAGCTGTCAGAAATAGCAGACAAGTCAAAGAATATGGTGACTTTTGGTAGTAAGGAAGGCTCTGACAAGTGGGACAGCCAAGGCCAGGCAGGAGGCATAGGCCCAGGGCAGGGGCAGGCCCTGTGGTGGCACCAGCTTCACAATGTCTCCGCCAGATCCTGGTTTGGGAGGTGAGAGGCTATGTAAGCCAGGTTCCAGGCCCAAGTTCTTTCAGGGAACAGAGAAAACAGGTCTGGTAGGGAGAAAGACCCAGTGGTCAAGAGGTAAGAGGCTCAGGGTAAAATGGTGTCAGCTGTCCCTCTCCCACACTGTCATATAGTAGCCCCTGGAGGGAAGTCCCAGGACAAGGGCCTGGCATCCAGCACCAGGCTCGAGGGACCTCGGGAAGAGCCATTCCACAGGTCTTCTGCTGTGGGGACCAGTGACCATGAAGATGCAATGCCTGAGTTAGAAGCTGGACATCTGGTCAGGTGAACAGGGTCCATT